ATATATAATTTGCATTTAATAGCACGTTAGATAATATTTGCGAATATGTGATTTTTTATTTCTTATTGGTGATTATGATGATTCTGTCTTTATGTAGTACGTCTGGTGCAGTTCACTGTCAAAATTAAAGCGGGTGTTCAGCCAGAACATCTATTTTGTTTGTTTCCTTGACTTTTACGCTATACTTGTAACTGGTGGAGTGACATCTGTACGCACATAAACACTCCGAGAAGCGAAATAATAAAGACCACAGGCTTTGTGAACGCACTGACGCTAGACATTGTCTGAGGAAGAGCTGTCAGTGAGACAGGTTATGTTAATCTTACTCTGGGAGTCGGTGAGGGAGATCATCTTGGCTTGTTTCGCTCAACAGCTATCACAGGAGCGGCGGCAACGCGTACCGGAAACACTCACTTACAGCTTCCGGAGAAACTTTAACCGATAAACTTTACAAACCTAATGCATCTCGTATCAATTTAATATTCTGAATAATAGCTATTTTGAATAAGTACTACGCTTAACAAATCTAAAGCTTGTTTTTGCGTGCCCAGTGATGACATGATAAAAGTCACTGTGGTAAATACTAGACTATATATATATATATATATTTATTTATTAACTGTTAATATGTAGTATTTTACATACATCATTTTAAGCATAATAACCTTAAGAAATGTACACCGAGATGCAACTGTAATAATTGGACCCCAGATAAAGTTATTTCCGTGTGCACCGCGCCATCTGCCGGTCAAACCGTACAACAGCACACTTGTAACAGGACACGCCGGTCTACCTGTGGAAGTTTCTACATTATAGCCCCTTTCACACAGTAATACCAGTAAATTGCCGTAAAATTACCGGAACGACTTTACCGGTAAATACAAAAATGCGCTTTGCACCATTCACACATCAATTTCAAAATTGCATCAACTTTTTTGAGCAATGTTGCTTAGGCACTTCCCCATTGAGGATAGGTAACACATTTCTATCTGGATTACTCAAAACGTCGCCCCGTGTATCATCAGCCTAAGTGTAAGCTTTTATCTAATGTATACTTTCATATAAGATGAATGATCTTAAGTGTGGATGTTTTTGGGATTTCCCATGAATAATGTGTCAGTTAGTGTCCCATTATTTGTTAAAGCATCATACTAAGCCCTTGTTTCCCTGGTGTATTTTAGACAAACAATTATTCAGCAAAGTTTTTATAGCATGAAAAATGTCAAGTTTTATTTTGAATGTTGCACCTCTTAAGTCTTACCTAAATTTAATGAACAAAAATGTCACTTGTAGCATTTTTTTCATTTGATACATTTAAGTGTGACACTTATTTAGTAAGTATTACTAGAAAATGACAATATTGGCAACCAACAACTTAAAACAAGGCATTTTATTAGTATATAATCTCACACCTTTATTGCATAATATTAAGTAGCCTTTATGAAACATTGCAGTAATTTATTTTGAATAACTGATTATTATGTGCAGTTCCTATTTGCACTGCAAACATGTTTCTCCATAAATACAGGAAACCCAAGAACTGCATCACACTGCAAGCTGTTTCTGACCAAAAAAAAAAGAAGAAATTAAAACAAATTATTCCATTGGGTTTAACAAAAAAAATTATATTAATGAATAACTATCCAAAAGGTAACAGCAAATAAATCAGGTGTAAACACATTTTCCCTGATTTAGGAAAGAGAGAGAGAGAGAGAGAGAGAGAACACAATGCAAAATGCAAAACATGTCAATTTTTGAGGCACTATTTGACACTAGGAATATACTGTGCACCTTGAGGGCTAATTTGTTTATACTTTAACACATACTATATTATATATTCTTGTTCTTAAATGTCCCTCCATCTTTAGTTAATTACAATTAGCCATATTTCCACACAGGGCTGGTCTCCCGTCCCTCATTCTGGGGGTTTCTTCTTGGCCTCCACGTCCTTCTTAAAGGCCTCGATTTTCTTTGAAATATTGGGTACCTGGAAAACGTTATAAATAAATTATATCCGACATTGATCACTAAACAGTGGAGCTGTTCTCTATTTCAAGACTAATGCTATTTAGTCCAGTCTTATTAAAATAAGTTTATTATAAGATTTTAGGCGCAGATTAAATCAGACAGTTAATATGTGAATAAATATTGTTTTTATAACCTCGTAATTCTGTGCCAGATACATGCCAACCACGTTCCCCAGAGTGAATCCAAGCTGGAAAAACAAGATGCTCTATCAACAACCTTATGTGACATATAGATACATTCTTCTATATTATAAATTATCCGGATGTAAATGTTTATGTTTAGTTCAAATTAAACCCTTTGATCAGCTAGTTACGTAGTTATTAGCTACTACAATGTGAATTAGCAAGCGAATAAATACACATTTACAATCTCACGAACAGATGTAAATACTTACTATGAATTGCATCATGATTAAAACTTTGAAATGATGAAAAGAAACTAAATAACAGTGACACTGGTCTCGAAAGCTAGGATGGTTGTGAGTTTGACACGGCTAGCCTTAAACTAGCTACATATGTCATCAGCGTGACATCAACACACCGGAAGTAGTATTCTTGGAAAATAAGAGTTTTAATTATGACGCAAAGGACACATTAATTGCGCTACAAATTAAATATAGACCAGGTTGAGATCTAACTATTAATATAATTTTTTCCCCACATACAGTAATTAAATTAATTAAAAATGAATTGATTAATTTAGTTTAAAAAAATGTAACAAAAGAATATTTAAATGCTGTCAGATGAATGCAGAAAAAGGTTTAAAGGAATATGAACTAGTTTTCACACTTCCTTTTATTTTTTTTAGTGCTTGTCACACTACACATATTTTGTTGTTCTTACAAGGGTTCTTGCATCTTGAAAACAAACAACACATAGGCTATTGCAAAATTGTTAAATGGAAGGTCTGTCATGTTGAAATAATGGCTTTCCACACAAAGATGTCATTCATTCGCTTGTCACAACGGCAAAAAATAATCACCAACAAAACAAGGGTCTTGATCTGTGCGGTTTGGTAATAGTTATAATAAAACTATTAATATAACTAAACGTAAGAGCACAAACATTATTTAAGACAATCGCCTTAATTTTCAAAAACAACAGAAATAAAACAAACATGCCTGTAACAAAGCACAATGATATACAAATGGCATACAAAACTAGCCCAAATATTGATGTCTAAAGGATAAAAACGGACGACAAATGATCATGCAGTCATATCTGTATAAAATGACACTACCAGGACAAAAAAATAAATAAAAAAATCAGATTAATTTAACAATATTGTTCAATTTTATCTTCCCAGAGTTCTCGATTCTCCCTCTTTATATAATTTCAAGTTTCTTCCATTTCAAAGTATGCAGAATAAGAAACTCGGACAATATTTAAGTATAAATACAGTTAACAATTGTAATATAATACTTTCAAAATAATGTGTAGCAAACAAAGTCTAATTTCACTTTGTTGCTGATGGATTTCAGTATGCTCCAATAAACATTTTTTTGTATGATCTAGAAAATGGGCATGGGAAACAACAATTCGGGTATCTACAAATGGATAGCAACATATTCTCAAAAGTCTGTAAATGATCTATGTAAATATATGTCTTTAACAACTGTAAATATAGAAAAGTTTCTGCCTTGCACCTAAACATGGTCAATATACTGTACGTAATGACTGCATTTCTTTGCAGTAACACTGTCAAGTGAAAACCACAGTTAGAGAGATGCTAAAAATATAACTTGGCAAGGAATATAGATTCTTTGTAACATAATAAACAGCAACAACGCCCCCAATCCATAATTTCCCATTTTAAGCACCATAGCACACTGTTGTTCTTCAGTCTTCTTCGTACTGCAGTGATTCCCTTGAATCAAGCATCAAATAATTCACACGAGAGAAACACATGAGGGAAATGTATGGTGATAATAACGAATCAAGTAAATGATGCATCCTGGTTTATTTGGATTCCAGGTGACTGCTTGGTGGCCCCTGTACGATCCCATTCTGCGGAGTTGGTGCTTGCATGTCGATGAAAAGTAGATTCTTCAGGATGCTCACATAGAAAGGACCGTAAACCTTTTTGTTGAAGTTGACAAGGTTGACAAAGCTGACTCCAAGCCCCATGAGCTCTGGCTGAATCAGACCCAAGCCTGGTGGTACGGGAGGGGGCGTCCTGTGAGAGTTGGTAGAGGCGAGGACCACCCTAAAGTACTGATGTACTCTTCCCTCTGTGGCACGGAAAAGGCACATAAAAACACGATACAAGCTCTACAGGCTTTAAGGCAATATAACGAGTTCAGGTAAGCTCAACTGACAGCATTTGTGTCATAATGTTGATTATCACAAAACTTAATTTCCACTTTCATTTTTTTTAATTTAATATGAAATAAATAAATAAATAGAATAAAGCAGAAATGCATTACAGTGAGGCAATTAAAATGGAAGTGAATGGGATCAATTTATAAATGTGAAAGTATCACTGTTTTAATAGTATAGCCACACAATGTAAACAATATGCTTGTTAATATAATATTTAAAAAGCTTGCTAACCGTTATATGCAAATTTACAACTTAGTTGCCATGAAAACAATGTAAAATGATTAGAAAAATGATTATTTGAACAGCTTTATAGCTTAAATAATACACTGGTTTTAACAGGAAAATTAATGTATTTGCTTTTCACATTTCACATTTTTCAGTTTCACATTTCTGCTTTTAAATCCTCCAAAATATGGCTCCATTTATTTCCATTTTAAGATTAAAATCATTTTTAGGCAAAAAAAAAAAGGGGGGGGGCGATTTTCTTACTTACTATTTTGTCTTGTTTTCCATTACAAATTAAAATTCTAAACATTCTTAAATCAAGTTACTTAAAAACTTGAGTTGCATAAAACAAGAAAAATTTAATATATTTCATATATATTATTAAATATGATCTATTTTGCTTCTCAAGTAATTGTGTCTTGATTTAAGAATGTTTGTTTAGATATTTGTACAGGTAAACAAGACAAAAAAGAATAAGAAAATCATTTTTGCAGTGTCGCAAGTGCTGTTGATTACACTTGAATATTCTTTTGCATTTTCCTTACCAACAAGAGTGCGTATTGGGTTGTTTTCCTGGGTGACGTCGCAGATCTGGCCCTTTAAGGTTTCCTGCAATTCAGCCGGGAGAGCTGGGAAGTTTCTTTCAGCCAGAGACTTGTTGACCTCACAGCAGATCTGAGCACTGACGTTTCCAAGAGCTTCGGTGAGATTAAAATCGCTGTAAGCCAAACGGGGGAAAAAAAAAACAAAGCCGACAGGCAAGATCTTTTAGATTGAGATGTTCATTATTATGTTTATGTAGAAGTATGTGTGTGACATGTGCATGTGTTAGCCTGAGCAGAGTTTAGGGGAAGGACAGGGATCGGACGTACGTGCTATGCATGCCCTCCAGCAGCACTGCTGTCATCTTCTTAAGTCGCTCGACAAGAGTGGGCAGGCCTGACACGGCTCCTCCTATTGAGCTGTAGACTATCAGCAGAACAGACGCGACCGCTTGATAGAGCTGAAGAGACCGCTGCATCTCCTGCAACCTCACTTCATCGGTCATCAGGGTCTGCAAGTGCAAAATTGAGAATGTTAGATCACAAAACACTCTTAAAGATGCATTTTGAATTTGATATCAAACTTAGTATGAGTTTAAATGTGTGTTTGTTCTCCAACCTCAGGCAACGGGCCCTTGCTCTCGTCCCAAATGAGCAGTCTGATGTAGGCTGTATTTAGCACCAACGTGGGGCCTGGTAAGGGTTTGCCGCTCTGCCCAGAATCGCTGCTCTTGTCTGATGGTGGCATGACTCGAGTGGCCTCCTCAATTGAAGATTTTATCCACTCATTTGCGTGATCCAAAGCACCTGGGTTGGATTAAAAATATGTTAAAAGTTAAGAGCCCAGGTGTGCAAAAGAGTCCAGATACTTTTGGGTGAGCTATCCCTTTAAATGAAAATTAATTTACTCATGTCGTTCCACACCTGTATGACTTTATTACTTCTGTGGAGATAATTTGAAAAATGTTCTCAGTGTTTTTTTGTTTGTCCATACAATGAACGTCAGTGGTGACCAATGTTGGACAAAAACAGTCAAAACATCTTCAAAGCATCATTTGTGTTTCACAGGAGAAAGAAAGTCAAATGGTTTTAGAATGACAAAAGGGTGATATATGATGACAGAATTTTTCTTTTTTTTTTTTTTTGTGAAAATGGGTGAAAATGCAATTTATGTCAAATAATTTTCAATGCTTTTCGTACAAATTTGTTTGTGGACTTACTGGGAGTTCTTTCCAGAATACTCTGGAATTTGGCTCTCTCATACTCTACCGACTGCCTCTGAAGCTCTGGCCTGAGGCTCTGGATGGTAAAATTCACCATGTCCATTTTCATCAGGTCCAGCACCCGGAAGATCTCCCTGTTACCACACAAGTGATCATTTCGAAGTCAATTACTTTGCCTCAGGTGACTGTTCGTATCAAATATGGCTGTTAGTGAAGACAACACCATTACTGATTTGTGTCCCGCATCCCCCTCAATCACTGCATCTCATTCACTAATAATTGCATGGATTATTCATATTTGTACGAACAAGACAACCTCCCATGAAAAATGACCATGTCACATGTGCTTACACACCAAAATTTGTTCTTAATCTTGTTATAATATATTTAAGATGAAATATCTATGTATAAAATGTAATTATAACATTGTTATAATAAGCAGCGTTATTATAGTAAACTAAAACTAAAATCATGTAAAACCTTTTCGTTACTTGAAATACACTTGAATTTTTTAAAAATATATTTATTTCAGCTAGTTGCCAAGGCAACATTTCTCATATTAATTTAGTTTAACTTGATGTCCTAAAATAACAAAAACTAAAACTGAAATAAAAATTCTCTATATACTGTATATATAACACCCCCCAAAACTACTAAAAATGACAAAAACACTAAATCTTTAAATAAGAGTAAAATAAACCAGAAAAATAAAAACTGATTGAAAATATTAATAAAAACTACAATAGCATCTCAATGTTACTAAAATAACACTAGTTATAAGGCCACCCATAATATATGATTTTTGCATATGTATGGTTTCAGTACACTACATTTTTTCTTAAATTTAGAACAAATTTTAGTACGGAAGTAATTGGTTATTCAAGATTTGTTCATGAAAATGTACGTACCTGTACACAGATTTCATGCACAAATTTGAATGACGCACTATTTGCATGTTATTACACCAGCCAATGGGTGCTAAAGTGAAACTGACCTATAGTTCTACAAAGCTATAAAAGAAGACACCTTAATAACATACTTGAACAGTGTCACTAAGTTGCCCGAGTTCTCCTTGAGCTTCTTGATTTCATCGTCTCGGACCGGTGCACAGAACTTGCCCATAGTATTGATGATGTAAGACACAAGCCCCTGGATATCAACCGCATTGTTGTCAGCCTGCTGGCGGATCAGGTCCATGTCCAGAACCTCCATGATCTGAGTACGCAGGCGAT